TTAAGAGGTATGGTAGACATTGTGAAATGAAAGGAAAATGCTCAAAAGTAAAGAGCAACTGGGATGAGAGAAAAGAGAAAAGAAAGAAGTGGAAAACTATGTATATATCTATATACAGGATAGCTAACATAATTGTGCTACTGACATGTCGCTTTATTGAAAGGAACAGTTAATGATTAATTATTTGATCAATCTTGCATGTCTCTATTTGTTTTCCTGAGCAATTATCTTAACTATATATATATATTTTTTTCTTCTTTCCCCTTACTTCTTTTCTCCATTCCTTCTACCCAGTTTCTCTTTACTTTTGAAGTTCCTTCCCATTTTACAATATCTATTGTACTTTCTGGAGTTCTTCATATGTTCTGGATAGTAATCCTTTCTCTGAGGAACAGCTGGAAAACATCTTTTTCCACATGGTGGATTTTCTCTTCACTCAGTGGTTTCTCTTGCAGTGCAAAAGCTTATTAATAAGATGAGATCTCTGTCGTTGATTCTTCGTGATCGTTCCCATGAAATCGGGGTTTTATTCATAAAGTCTTTGCTGACTCCAGTGTCTTCCAGAATTTTACTATTCCATCATCCAGCAGATTTAATGTTTCTGTTTTAATATTTAAATCTTTGATCTATTTTTAATTTAGCTCAGTGCATGGTGAAAGATATGGGTCCAATTTTAATCTTTGGCATGTGCAGAGCCAGTTTTTCCAGCACCATTTACTAAAGAGGTTAACTTTTTCCCAGTGAATGTGTTTGGCACCTTTGTCAAAGATAAGGTGGCTGAATATGTCTGGAGTTATTTCTGCATCTTCTAATCTGTTCCACTGATCTTCAGTTGACCTATAATCTCATCTTTTAATACTTGAGCTGTAAGTTTGCCTTCTTTCATGAGCTCATGTATCTTACTGTCCCAGAATCTTCAATTAATTCTGAAAAAAAAGCTTAGGCTGCAAGGTAACACCTTTGCTATTACCTCTGTCACTGGGCTGGATCTCCTTTTTGACCTAAAAATCTTTTAAGACTCAAGGTATAGAAATCAATAGGTAATACAACAACCATTGTTAATTTCCTACCACTTCGTCTGTAATTCAGTACTGCTTGCATTGTTCTTATGCTATTTTGTAAATGGATGTCTGTTTGTTAATATGTTCTCCTTCTTTTATTTTTAAAATAAACTTTAAGAAAAGAAATTCATCAGTTTTTCCAACCCCCAGAGACCTGAAATTTGTTATTGTGGTTTCACTTCAGCTAGTAATTTAGCCAATCCTTGCCTGAGTTCATTTCTTTCTTGTAATACTTGGCCAAAAGTAACAAATAACAGCCAACACACACTAATTAATGGGAGAACTTTGTTCAAATTGTATACATTCTGGATGTATCAGTCATCCAATTCAGACATCAGAAATTTTATTCGGGAGGCAAAATTGGGCACATTATTGATAATCAACATATCACAGCATATGAGAATCCAAGAATCCAACCATAGCGTTAGCTTGCTGTTTCTAAGAAAAGACACACCGACCATTGCGCTGACCATTTTAGGGCATTGTGGAAAAGTTACATTTGTAAAGATTTCTTCACAAGTTCCACAAAAGCATTTGCTACCCTGTGTGATGGTTAGTGGGACAAGAGGAAGAAGCAAAGGGCAAAGGGACAGAAGATGGTCAAAGTTCAAGTCAGGGAACGGGGATGCTAGGGAGGATTGAGACGGTCCAGACGACCACAGCCTGGGCCCCATGGCTGAATGCACAGGCATCATGGCATTCACCCAGGGATTAGAGCTCAGCAGTTTCTGAGACAGAGACTCAGGGCTTCACCATTTCTTTCAGCAAACTGCGACCCTGGGGTTTTGCGTGGCCCAGTGGAGCAAGGGAGTCCCACAGGAGTGACTGGTGCATCAGAAAGTACAGGGCAGCAAAGTGTTCCTGAAGGAAGTCTTGCACTACCTCCACCTTTACCCCCACGGACTGTACGTATATACAATTGTACAGATTAATGAGTTTGGCTATGACGTTTCCGTACGTGCATATGTTGTGCTTTCGAAGCTTTTTTCTGTTGCATTTGAAATAGTCTATGCTTAAGATTGTGCTGTTATCCAGACATACATTCAGTCTAGAGGGGACTTTGAAGACCTTCTTATCCTCATTTGATAGGCAAGACAACTGAGAATGTGGCCAAGGTCACATATCAAGATTGTAGTATTCTGGGACGAGAATCAGGTCTCCTGTCTCCTCTTCATAAGTAACTGTAACCCAGACTTCTATTTAAGAACAGGCACCTTGACCCAGTGGCACACACTGTGTTTCTAATCTCCCACCGTGAGATACCAGCTGTTTCTCAGTTTGCATTCAGCTCATAGAGTCATCGCATCAACGTACCATGGGAGAAATTCAGCAGGATGAATCCCGAACTATTCCGCTTCCTATCATCCTCACATAGATTATTCCAACTCTCAACTGAGAATTCTAGTTCCAAGGAGTGAAATAAACCCTGCTGTGTCATTACACCACGTTAACATGATTTGGGAATAAACACCCATAGACTGCACAATGCCTCTGGCACAGGCAACAGCTTTAAGATATGATACGCATATGTACCAGTTTCCCAAGGTGAATGCAATGATTATGTATTGCAAACATACATTAATTTAAAAAAAGAAACTAAAAATGCTTGTTTTTATATGACAGAGTGTTAAGAGGGAAAATAATGCACTTTGCCTTTTATTTAAGAAATAGGAAAATTTAGAAGTTATCAGCATGTCTTACATGTTTGTGTCTCTTGGTCATTTCTTTCCTTTTTTAAAATTGAGTGACTGGCACATTTTAGATCTACATAATGATCATATTCATCACAGGGGATTTGCATGTGTACATGATACATTTTGGTTCTTTTTTCCCCAATCGCCTTCCTCCTTTCAACCCTTCTTCTCTTCCCTATTTACAAAGCTTTGTTCCCATTTTATCCTTTATTTTAATTGGTTTATTTTCCTTTTTTCTTCCTTCTTTTTCCCTTTCCCCCACTCTAACTCCTCTTTCCTTTTGAACAACGTCTTCCCATTTCACAGTATCTATTGTACATTTTTTTTTTTTTCCTGTACCAGGAATCGAACTCATGATGTTGCGCTTGCCAGGCAGGCGCTGTGCCACTGAGCTAAATCTCCAGCCCCTCTATTGTACATTTTGGTCCTTATTTACTCTTCAAGTTTCTCACACCAGGGAGACAATGAGATGTCTACACATGCGAGTCTTATTTATTTCACCTAAGTGTATGGTCTGAAGTTGCATCCATTTACCTAGAAATGTCTCAAGTTTATCCTTCTTTATGGCACAGTAGTACTCCCTTGTATTAAAAAACCACATCTTTATCCATTCCTCAGTTGATGGGCCTTTCTTATTTTCAAAATCCTATGTATCAACAATTATTACCACATGGACCTGCAGGATTTTTTCCCAAAGTGACTCTCAAGGTTCTTTGAGAAACTGAATGAGGACAGGCAGAGGGAGGTGAAGTCTATATATCATCTTCTGAAATGTTACAGGACTGGGGATTTAGCTCAGTGGCACAAGGGCCTGCTTGGCAAGTGCAAAGTCCTGAGTTACGAAGCACATTAGCATATTAAGTGCTTTGGAATCCTTTCATTTAGTCTGTTTCTCACATTTTTTCGATCATGAGACCCTTCTTAATTTATTTCATTTAACTTCCTTAGAATTCAAGGTTCTCAGAATGTTCTTTGAGAGTTCTCATTTATAATTACTCTTCAGGGACTTAACACTTGGGCTGGTGTTTTTGGAGACTGTACCGAACTGGAGCCTCACATGTGTGGTTTCCCTTGTAAGCCCCTCCCCAGTGTGACTCTTCAACATCAGGAAATTCTCTTCTATCACAAGGCAACAATATCTTTCATCTTTTCCCAGTTCTTGAATGCCTACTGTCTGTGCACACTAGCTGTGGCTAGTGTGGATGAGACCCAGACCTCCGCAGAGTCATTCCTGACCTTCCCTCTTCTGCCTCCATAACTTCCCAGATCACTCAGACAGACACTTTCTACTCATACTCTGTACCAATAAGAAATCCTGGCAGCAAGTACTAGGAGTTCAGGCACTGGGAGATCTTGAGGCCTACAGCAGGTTGTTTTTCCTGTTTCATTTTTCTATGCTTTTGTTTATTTATTCATTTTGCATTTTCTTATCCACTCACTCCAAGGCCATCTATCTCCTCTCCTTGTCATATAGATGTGACTTGGAGAACTACTTTGTTTATTGAGTGTGTACTCAGAAGAACTCACCTCTTACCCCAAGCAGCTTATCCAAGTATTTCTACCAAATTAACAGAATGTTCCTCTAAGAAAATTCCAGTTACATGTTCCCATATTGTTTTTGAAGATATATTTATGTGTATATAATGTTGAATCTATAATATATAGATTATATTAAGAAAGATGACAATAGCTGTTCATGGTCACTGAATGTAGATTCCCCTACACTTTTTTTTTTCTGGTGGTCTAGAAAGTTGGTAGTTAAAAAACCTGGCTGCATATTACAATCATATTACAATCAAATACCAATGTCTGAGCTTTACAGGTAGAGATTCTGCTTCAAATGACCGAGTCCATGCATCCACTTCCCAAGCACCCAGGCAATTCAGTTGTGCACATCAGAGAATAGTGTCATTATTTAGAACACAATAAACAAACCATCAGAAGCAGAAAATACTTAAATACTCCACCAGTAATTAATAAGCCTGATCACCCACAGTGCCTACTTAGCTATTCATCTGGTCATACACAGCTCTTCAGATACAGCTTTCCTTCCAGATGCTCAGAAAAGTGTGAAAATAATTTCTTCTTATAGTTGTCCACAGAACTCCAGGCTTGTGAGGATGGGAAAGTAAATCTAGAACATTTAGGTGTTTTCTTGATGCCATCATTAGCATGATGTCACACTGAGAAATTTACAGTCAGGGATGCGTACTCAGCTCCCATATGTGCAGCAATTACAACTCACCTGTCTCTGAGGTTTGAGGAGGCAGAGTCTGGCTGTGGTTAGCGATGAAGGTGGCTGCAGGAGCACCCTACGGGAGGTGGTGATCAGGAACTACAGGGATCAAGGCAGCCCTGTTAGATAAGAGGGCAAGCTGTTCCGTGTCTTGTCATTCACTCTTTGCTCTGAACTGCTATCCTATCTCTCCACTTCAGCCTCACGAGTAAGTTATCCTTCAAAGACCCACAACAGATGCCCCTTCTCTCTCCTTGGAGCCTACACCACACTCTGTCTTGACCTCATATGACATCATACATTTTCCTTCTAGATTTCCAGGTCCTGAAAGGCAGCATCTTGTATTTTAACTTTCTTTGCATCAACAGAGCTCAATAAAGTGTCTCTACAGAGCGAGCCTCAAATATGCTTATGATACTTCACATAAACTTCCTGATGTCTGTAATATCTACCATCCAACTTGGAATGAGCTTAAGAAATCCAATATCCCTTACAAATCCAGACAGCTCACTTAACAGAATGGAGTTATTATCAATAGGCACAAACAATAGACCTCGAGCTCTGCTTTGGTGATACAGCAACTGCTGCTCATCTTGCTTTTAGAACAGAGGTAAAGTGATACTGAGTTGAAGGCCATTACTGAACAAGAAAAATGGTAGGAAAGAGAGCCAGATACAGAATTACTGTATTTAATCAGAACAAGGAAGAAATCTCTTTACTAGAAAGTTTGCTTAAATATACTCTACTACCTTTTCCAAATCCCTAAATTGTTAAATATTTTCTTTAAAAGTAGCTGTTCCTCTTTCCAGTATGTGCCCAGTGTTCTGGGAATCAACTAATCTTATTGCTTTTTGGCTCACCTGTGCTGGGAATCTCATAAGAACTCAGGGGTCCGGCCTTTGTTACTTTTTCCAGGAGACATGAATCATTCCCATCCACTGGCTTCTGGGAATAATTCAGCTGGAAAACTTGCAGCTGCTAAATCCACCATGTCTTCTCACCAGGATGTAACCTCAGTACTCAGGGGTTTTAAACCCAAATAACTTTAGAAGTCAGGCGGGGAGGAGAGTGCAGGGAGTATGCAGGGTGTAGCATGGTGGGCATTGATAGAGACTGAAAAGTGGCGTAAAGGTATCCAAATGTAAAATTTTTCAGGCAGTTGGGCCTGCCACACAAAATACACACAGAGGCCAATTTATTCTGAAGGCCTAAGTGTTCCACTGACACACAGTCATGCGACTTCTCCTGCATTCCCACCCTATACCTCTCTGTGCTTTCCCTCCGTTGATGAAGCTGTCATACATAATTTTAGATCTGCTAACTCTATCTTGTTTTATACCTATGCGATGAAATTTGCATAGATTTCATGCAGCCTAACTTGAAGAGTCTTTATCTCACACCTGGGCCACATGCCTTTCATCTCTTGACTTGGGCTTCCCTATAGATCCTGCTGAGGACCTCTGCTAAGCACACAGGAGGCAGATCCTGGAGGCACAAGGGAGTAAACATCCATCCCCAAGGTGAACCTTTGACCAATGGGAGATGGGAGATTAAATAACAGGCAAAGTATTCCCCTTTCTCTTTCTCTACCAGTAGATAGTGCTAAGATGTAGTTTTTTACGGTTTCTTGGACAATGAGCTGTCAGTTATCTCCCCACCCCTAGTGGCAATATGCTTGCTCACAAATCCTCATTAGCTTTCCTTATGTCTCTTCTTTCTTCCGTCCTTCACTCCTGATCTCTGGAATTATACCCAAGTCTCTTGCCCTAAAATATACTTTTTGAGGAAGCCCAGTGTAAAACAATTGGAATCAGCATTGGCCCTATAAATCAAACTATCTGGATGAGATTTTCAATTTAGATGACTTAGTGATCGAATGCCAATAATGAAATACTCCATTACTTATGCTAAGTGAAGTGATAATCTGTGGCCTGCAGTAATGCTATGTATTACTTGAGGTTCTCTAGAGGAGAAACATATATATAAAGAGGATTTATTTGGTTTATGAGATGAGAGGTGGGAGAGTCTATAGTGGCTCTCTGTAGGATCAGAGGTGGAAGAACCCACAGTGAGTGTCTGTGTGCTAGAGAGTCAGATGATCCAGGAGCTGCTCGGCCTGAGAAGATGGAAGCCACAGACCAAGGGATGCTTGTAGCACCAGCCCAAGGTCAAAGGCCTGTAGAATCATTGGTGTGGTCTGAACTAGAAAATTTAAGAAAGTGGAGACCAATATGCAAAGGCAATGGTGAAGACTGAAGCTCTTCTAAAACAAGGACACTTTCTTATTTTCCCTTTTATTTGGTATAAGCTATAAGCCTGTAGCCTAATGGGCTCACACCCAGGAAACATCTTCTCTCAGTTTTCTGGCCCACAAGTCAGTTGTGCACAGATATACCCAGAACTGTGTGCCACTGGTCTGCTAGGCATTTGTTAATCCTTTCAAGGTGATATACCATGATTAATGGTCACACAATAGAATTATGAAACCATTAACCCCAGGTTAATTGGGTGAGATGCAGGCAGAAGATATAGTACTATAATATGTTGTTCTTCAGTGTTAAGAGGCCAATGATAATTATAAGAAATTTTGACTAGGATAACTCTCTTAAGTGCATTGAAAGACTTGGCACAAGAAACTGAAGCTCATAGCAGCCAAAAGCTAAGTAAAAATACCCTTAAAAAGACAGAGTGTTCTATGGTAACTTTGAAGGAGACTCAGTTCTTGCAAGACTGCACTGAAATTAGATCCAGGATCTTAAATACACAATTTAAGCAGATTTCATCAGTCATGCTATGGCCTGATGTGAAAACATGTGGGATTGAATGGCTTTGCTAGGGATATTTGGGTGGATGATCCTGACACTTGTGAACTCTCCAGGATGGCTGAAGCAAACCCCTCCAGTGTTAAAGGGAAGCAGCCTTCGTTTTCTAGAGACAATGAAAGGACATTGCTCAAGGTCGCTGCTTTGCTGTATGACACAGCTGATTCACTCCTCATTTTTCAGAGTTAGGTCTCAGCACAATCTGGTCAGGGAAATACAATGTCCTGGAGCAATCTCCTGAAAGTTCCAAGAGGAATAGCCTATACCCCAAAGAATTTGCACGACCTGGGGAAAGAGATCTAAAGAGTATTGGCCCAGGATGGAGAAGGTAGATATAATACTGGGTAGAGAGCATGGATTGATAAGAAGGAATTCATTCTTAACTACTAAGCACCTAAATTATGGGTTTCAACAATGGGAAACATTTCAAAATTTTCCTGAAAATCTGTTGGGATGAGTCCTTCAATCTTGTACAGGAAGATGACTGTTAGTAAACGAGGTGGTAAGGTTCCAGATATAGCATTGAAAAAGGATCAGAAGGCTCCTGGAGATGGAGCTGTTGGATTTAATTTATAAGGTAAGACCTAAAAACTTATCATTACCTGGTGATGTTCACTGAGGGGAGGCAGAAGACACTCCCTCAACAAGACAATAAGAAACCCAATCAAGGTATTGACAATTATTTAAAAGTTTGATGAATATTGTCTTTGTAAAAAAAGAACTGATGATTAGAGATACTGCCATAAAACTGACTCTACATTATCCTTGGGCATGACAGGATTTCAGAATAGCAGAGCAGAATATCCAACTATCACAGACATAGTAGACATAACATCAATAATGGTGAGACAAGGTCAGATAGTCAATCAAAATGTCTTAACAGGGATCTTTGGTTTTGGCTAATGGACCATGGTGTCCTTAGACATGAGACAGCTAGACTGCTGGGTAGTATTGCTGACTTGTTTTATTGTATTTCTAAATATTAAGAACCACTGAGCAGAAGTGTGACATCAGTTACCACAGTGGAAATTTGTGGTTCCTCTTCCAGTTTCAGGGTTCATGTTAAGACCTAGAAATCATATATTGAAGAGAGGCTGAGTTCCCTTGAAAACAGTTCCCGTGTAAATACATAGACATGCACCCAATAGTCACCCAATCCTTTCTTATAGGGATCTGTGGAGATTTGGTAAAGCATTGTATACTGAGGGAAAGAAAATACATACTGTTTTGAGCATTGTTAAATCTGGAATCTGATCTTTCTGATACTAGCAGATTCAAAACATCATCATAGAATTTAGTTTAGAGTAGTGATGCATGTGTGCTAGGTGATTAATGAAATTTTAGACCTGTTTATCTTGGTTATTTCCCTAGTCACCAAGTATACTTTATCTTGAACATCTGCATGAACCTTCACATTGTGTCCCAAAGTAAAGGTCATTATGGTAGGAAGCACCACGTGAAACCTCTGCAGTTACACACACATACACACAGTCCTACATGCATACTATTATCTGTACAGTAAGAGAGGAGCAATCTGCATCCCTGGAAGAGAGGGAGGGAGAGAGAGAGAGAGAGGGAGGGAGAGATCATGGCAAATGGTAGTGTGCTATCATAAATTTAATTGGGTTATAACTCCCATTATTGTTGCAAAATGAAGTACCTTTAATGGAACAGGTTAACACAATTTCTGGCACTTTATATGCATCTCCTAATTTGAAGAATGCACTCTTGTAGATCGGGGATAGTCAAACTACAGATTCTGGGCCAAATATGTAGGTATGACACACACTACTGAAGGGTCTGTGCATGTATGTTAGCCAACCTCTCTCGTCCATAGCCTCTCTACTGGACAATGAGCCCAAACACAAAGTAATCATTTGACAAGGATAGAGGCTTAGACGGGCTCCCTTTGAATCAGCTAATGTTGTTCTTTCTTTCTTTGTTTCATTTTTTTTTTAGTTTTTATTTTTATTTGCATGTGTTTGAACTACATAATGATTACATTCCTTGTGGGGAGTTGGTACATGTACTTAATGCGTCTTAATGTTTTTATCTCCTTTCCTTCCCTTCCCTCCCTCTTCCTTCCAGTTCTGCTTCTGAAGGCCTAACCTACTAGCAGCAGACAAAGAAGAGATTAGTCTCTTGGGATAGGTTGGTTACAACTGGGCATCTTCTACCCTGGGATTGTGGGGTACAGAAATTTCCCCTTACAGGAATTGATCCTTAATCTGAAAATGTATTTGTATCCTTATCTGCAATACCTCTCCTGGCCTACCATCCAAAAGCTTACAGAATGCTTGACTTGTTGACATGGTGTCTCA